TGGCGGCTAAGCCAAGAGCATCATCCTTCATGGCTCTCCGGGTGCACAGGGAGCCATCATCCCTCCTGAGAGAAGCTGGGCCTCCTGAGGCTCATGTCCTGGGAGAAGAGCCGTCTTGGACCAAATATGCAGGCAAGGAGAAGCGAGAGGGAGGGAGGACCTCCTGCCTGCCTTGATTCTTGAGAGCCCATGTCTTGCTCCACAGAGTTAAATTCCTGCTTCCCACTTCACTCATTTGGGGTTTGTTTGGGGTGTTTTGTGTTCCTGTTTCTCTTTCCACTCAAAACAGCAGGTACTCGAGCAGGAGGAGGAGAAGGAGGGGGCGTCCCATCTTCAGAAGCGAGTCCGTGGGCTGATGGAGGAGGTGTCCCGTCTCTCGGCTGAGAACCGGAGCCTGAAGCAGAAGAGCCCTGATCCGGAGGAAGGAACGTCCCATCTCTCCGTTGAGAACCAGAGGCTGAAGCGGCAGGTACGTGTGCTGTGGGAGGTGGTGATCCATTTCCTGCCTGAGAATCAACAGCTGAAGCAGCCGGGTCAGGGTCCTGGGGAGGTGAAATTCCCTCTCCCAGTTGAGTTCCCAAAGGTGGAGGAGCAAGACCACGATCAGGACGAGGTGACCCCTCGGCTGAGAACCAGGGGCTGACGGAGCAGGTAGACTCACTGATGGAGGTTGTGTCCCATGACCTGGCTGAGAACAACCAGCTGAAGCTGCAGCGCCCTGATCGGGAGGAGCCGGTGTCCTGCCTGAAGCAAGAGGGGCCGCTCAGGAACAGACTCGACGGGGAGGGGGTCCCCGCACAGCCCGGTCCGTCCCCGCTGCCCTCCGCCTCGGCCCCAGCTCTGCATCCGCCCGAGGTGAGCGTCGCGGCGCCCCCTCTCAGCCCTGCCCGCTTTCCCCTCCTCGCGGGCTCTTCCTTCCACCCACCCCCGCGCGATCGTCCCAACAACCCCGAGAGGTTGGCCCGCGTTCCAAGTCTCCCCTCCCCAGAAAGGAGCCCCCACCCCACCCGAGGGGAGTGCTTCCCCTCTCACTCCTCCACCCGGGATTCTCCAGAATGGAAGGGGCTTAGCGATGAGGGACGGGGCCTTACCGATCCTGCACTCCTAGATAAGGGGGAAGGGGAGGAGACTGGAGGAAGCATGGCACTCTGTGCATGCTCAGAGGCAGGACTCTGCCCGGCAATCACTCTGGGCAATCATGGCTCCCATGAAAAAGATTATGTCTGGCCTTCGTTCTTGGGCATGGGAAGGGGGCAGGTTGGATGGCCCCTACAGGGGGGGGTCCCTTTCTTGCCCTGCCTTTTCTCGGCGGCCTTTTGGGCTCTTCTGCTGGTGGAGCAAAGTGGAGGGGGGGCAGGTTCTGGGTGCCAAATCTTCCCCCTTCCCGGAGCTGCTGCTGGTCTTCTCTCTGGGTGGAGAACCAGCGGCTGCAGCCAGAGAGGCAGGAGCTGAAAGGGCAGAGGGCTAAGCCAAGAGCATCATCCTTCCTGGCTCTCCGGGTGCACAGGGAGCCATCATCCCTCCCGAGAAAAGCTGGGCCTCCTGAGGCTCATGTCCTGGGAGAAGAGCCGTCTTGGACCAAATATGCAGGCAAGGAGAAGCGAGAGGGAGGGAGGACCTCCTGCCTGCCTTGATTCTCGAGAGCCCGGCTCTCCATGGCTCAGCCGTTCCCTAAAACGTCTTGCTCCACAGAGTTAAATTCCTGCTTCCCACTTCACTCATTTGGGGTTTGTTTGGGGTGTTTTGTGTTCCTTTTTCTCTTTCCACTCAAAACAGCAGGTACACGAGCAGGAGGAGGAGGAGGAGGGGGTGTCCCGTCTTCAGGAGCGAGTCCGTGGGCTGATGGAGGAGGTGTCCCGTCTCTCGGCTGAGAACCGGAGCCTGAAGCAGAAGAGCCCTGATCCGGAGGAAGGAACGTCCCGTCTCTCCGCTGAGAACTGGAGGCTGAAGCAGCAGGTACATGTGCTCCTGGAGGTGACGATCCATTTCCTGACTGAGAATCAACAGCTGAAGCAGCCGGGTCAGGATCCTGTGGATCTGAAATCCCTTCTTCCAGTTGAGTTCCCAAAGGTGGAGCAGCAAGATGATGATCAGGACGAGGTGACCCATCTCTCGGCTCAGAACCAGAGGCTGAAGGAGCAGGTAGAAGCCCTGACGGAGGTTGTGTCCCATTACCTGGCTGAGAACAACCAACTGAAGCCGCAGCGCCCTGATCGGGAGGAGCCGGTGTCCCGCCTGAAGCAAGAGACAGACCGGGAGCGCAGGGCCCGACCGGGAGCCTCCGGAGCCCTCCAAACAGTTAAAAAAATCCTTTTCGCTTCAGTAGCTTCTCCGTCCCTAGGAGCACAAAATGGCTACCAGGCTCCCTTCTGATGTGGGCTTTTAGCTGTTTCCTGCTCTATTTCCTGCTGTCTGGGGGCTACCAAGGCTTGGTAAGTGACTTTTATTTCTGACCCTTTTTTCCCCTCCAGAAGCCTCTAAGGGGAGGGAGGGGGCACTTTTTTCCTGTTCGTAACTCGAGGGAAGTGCGTATGTCGAGTCCTTATTTCCCCTATAGGGGGGGTTCGTAAGTTGAATTGTTCACAAGTAGGGTCGTTCGTAAGTCGAGACCCCACTGTATTCGCCTGCAACCCAGACGGCCGGGTTTCCTGCCTGGCTGGGCTTTTTTCTAGCCTTGGCCAAGGACCTTCCCAGCCTTTGCTTGCCCAGGTGTCAGCCCCGCCACCTGCCCGCCACCCGCCTCCGTCTCCCCTACCTGTCCCCCTGCATTTCCGCCTTCTTTGCTGTCTTTCTTTCTTCTCCCTCCCTTCTCTTGGCCTCACCCTCTTCCTCCCCAGTTCTAAGCAAAGCATCTTTGCCCTGAGCCTGCAGGAGGAAGCCAGCCAAGAAGGCCGACGAGGAAGTGAAGGATTAAAAGGACCAGCATTTATATTCTCTATTGAAAAGGACATTGAGGATATTGGTATATCCTCTATCCTGCATCCTGAGATCTGAGGTAGAATGGGCATTACACGTTGGACCCATGGAGAGCAATTCAGGGAGATGATGGCGCTTCAGGTCTGAACCAGGGGCCGAGGGAAGAGCCAAGCCTGGAGCCCATACAAGCTCAGCATCAGCTTCCCTCAGGCCCTGTGATCATCCTCCTAATTCAGAGGCAAAACAGATGCTATCCTGGTGCCTATCTCACTGCAAGGACCACCTCGGTGTGCGTCTCTTCCACGAGAGAGTCTCCACAGTTGACCGTCAGGCTGGGCGTTTTCAGGAAGAGGGTGGCCTCCAGGCCAGCCCTCGGCTTCTCCTTCAGGTGTGGGGGGTTCATGGGAATTGTGTCCCTCCCATCACTCCTCTCTTCTCTTCTCTCCCCCTTTTCCAGGCATCTGTGTCCAGTTCCGGATCTCTGGGAAGACGGGTGGTTGCGAGGAGAAGTTCTTAAGGGATGTCTCAGAGCTCCTGTCCTTGCAAAGAGTCTCTCTGAAGGTGAAGGAGTTTGCAGAGACCTCGAAGGACCCCCTTCTGCTCTTCTGCCCCATAGCTTCCCGCATGCGCAACGACATCGAACACGCCCTCGAGGGACTCGGTGGTGAGTGGCTGGATCAGTTGGGGTGGCCGTTTGTCTGTCTTTGGTGGACAGACTGTTGGAAGCCTCTTGGGGCAACTTCGGGGTGGAAAACATAATGAACGCTAATGATTTTTCTCCTCTTCAACGCCGACGATTTTTCTCCTCTTTGATCCAAAAAGGGGTCTTTTTTGTTTTATTGTTTTAAGAACTTGGGTTTGGGTATGGGATACATAAGGTAAGAGGGTGTGTGTGTGGGGGGGAAAGGGTTAGGGCTGAGGGAGGGAGGAGAAAGAATATACTAACATCCAATCTATCAAAAGAAGACTAAATTACTTACCAAAAACATGAGAGAACATGAAAGACAAGAGCTAATAGAGAAGACGAACTTTCATGAGGAGAAGAAAATTCGATATTTAGGAATACAAATTACAAAAAAGACAAGTACATTATTCAAAGATAACTACATGAAACTAATGAAGGATATGAACGTTGGGAAGCTGGAGGTGGTCAAACAGGAGATGGCAAGAATAAACTTTGACATCCTGGGCATCAGTGAACTAAAATGGACAGGAATGGGCGAATTCAGCTCAGATGATTATCATATCTACTATTGTGGGCAAGAATCCCGTAGAAGGAATGGAGTAGCCCTCATAGTCAACAAAAGAGTGGGAAGAGCTGTAATGGGATACAATCTCAAAAATGATAGAATGATGTCAATACGAATCCAAGGCAGACCTTTCAACATCACAATAATCCAAGTTTATGCACCAACCAGCATTGCTGAGGAGACTGAAATTGAACAATTCTATGAAGATTTACAACACCTTCTAGAACTGACACCAAAGAAAGATGTTCTTCTCATTCTAGGGGACTGGAATGCTAAAGTAGGGAGCCAAGAGATAAAAGGAACAACAGGGAAGTTTGGCCTTGGAGTTCAGAACGAAGCAGGACAAAGGCTAATAGAGTTTTGTCAAGAGAATAAGCTGGTCATCACAAACACTCTTTTCCAACAACACAAGAGGCGACTCTATACATGGAAATCACCAGATGGGCAATATCGAAATCAGATTGATTATATTCTCTGCAGCCAAAGATGGAGAAGCTCTATACAGTCAGCAAAAACAAGACCTGGAGCTGACTGCGGTTCTGATCATCAGCTTCTCATAGCAAAATTCAAGCTTAGACTGAAGAGATTAGGAAAAACCACTGGGCCACTCAGGTATAATCTAAACCAAATCCCTTATGAATACACAGTGGAAGTAAAGAACAGATTTAAGGAACTAGATTTGGTGGACAGAGTGCCTGAAGAACTTTGGATAGAGGCTCGTAACATTGTCCAGGAGGCAGCAACGAAAACCATCCCAAAGAAAAGGAAATGCAAGAAAGTAAAGTGGCTGTCCAACGAGGCCTTAGAAATAGCAGAGAGGAGAAGGGAAGCAAAATGCAAGGGAGATAGGGAAAGTTACAGAAACTTGAATTCAGACTTCCAAAGAATAGCAAGGAGAGACAAGAGGGCCTTCTTAAATGAACAATGCAAAGAAATAGAGGAAGATAACAGAAAAGGAAAGACCAGAGATCTGTTCAGGAAAATTGGACATATTAGAGGAACATTTTGCGCAAAGATGAACATGATAAAAGACAAAAATGGGAGGGACCTAACAGAAGCAGAAGACGTCAAGACGAGGTGGCAAGAATACACAGAGGAATTATATCGGAAAGATTTGGATATCCCGGACAATGCAGACAATGTAGTTGCTGACCTTGAGCCAGACATCCTGGAGAGTGAAGTCAAGTGGGCCTTAGAAAGCCTGGCTAACAACAAGGCCAGTGGAGGTGATGGCATTCCAGTTGAACTATTTAAAATCTTGAAAGATGATGCTGTTAAGGTGCTACATTCAATATGCCAGCAAGTTTGGAAAACTCAACAGTGGCCAGAGGATTGGAAAAGATCAGTCTACATCCCAATCCCAAAGAAAGGCAGTGCCAAAGAATGCTCCAACTACCGTACAATTGCACTCATTTCGCACGCTAGCAAGGTTATGCTCAAAATCCTGCAAGGTAGGCTTCAGCAGTATGTGGACCGAGAACTCCCAGAAGTACAAGCTGGATTCCGAAGAGGCAGAGGAACTCGAGACCAAATTGCTAACTTGCGCTGGATTATGGAGAAAGCCAGAGAGTTCCAGAAAAATATCTACTTCTGCTTCATTGACTATGCGAAAGCCTTTGACTGTGTGGACCACAGCAGACTATGGCAAGTTCTTAAAGAAATGGGAGTGCCTGACCACTTTATCTGTCTCCTGAGAAACCTATATGTGGGACAGGAAGCAACAGTTAGAACTGGTCATGGAACAACTGAGTGGTTCAAAATTGGGAAAGGAGTACGGCAAGGCTGTATATTGTCCCCCAGCTTATTTAACTTATATGCAGAATACATCATGCGGAAGGCTGGACTGGAAGAAGCCCAAGCCGGAATTAAGATTGCCGGAAGAAATATCAACAACCTCCGATATGCAGATGATACCACTCTGATGGCAGAAAGTGAGGAGGAATTGAAGAACCTTGTAATGAGAGTGAAAGAGGAGAGTGCAAAAAACGGTCTGAAACTCAACATCAAAAAAACTAAGATCATGGCCACTGGTCCCCTCACCTCCTGGGAAATAGAAGGGGAAGATATGGAGGCAGTGTCAAATTTTATTTTCCTGGGCTCCATGATCACTGCAGGTGGAGACAGCAGCCCTGAAATTAAAAGACGCCTTCTTCTTGGGAGGAAAGGGATGACAAATCTTGACAGCATCTTGAAAAGCAGAGACATCACCTTGCCAACAAAAGTCCGAATAGTCAAAGCTATGGTTTTTCCTGTTGTGATGTATGGAAGTGAGAGCTGGACCATAAAGAAAGCAGACCGCCGAAGAATTGATGCCTTTGAATTGTGGTGCTGGAGGAGGCTCTTGAGAATCCCCTGGACTGCAAGGACAACAAACCTATCAGTTCTAAAGGAAATCAACCCTGAATGCTCACTTGAAGGACAGATCCTGAAGCTGAGGCTCCAGTACTTTGGCCATCTCATGAGAAGAAAAGAGTCCTTGGAAAAAACCTTGATGTTAGGAAGGTGTGATGGCAAGAGGAGAAGGGGACGACCGAGGATGAGATGGCTGGACAGTGTCTGCGAAGCAACCAACATGAACCTGACACAACTCCGGGAGGCAGTAGAAGACAGGAGGGCCTGGCGTGCTCTGGTCCATGGGGTCACGAAGAGTCGGACACGACTAAACGACTAAACACACACACAATCTATTCATATTGCAATATCAAAATTGAAACTCTGTTTTTCTACTATTTTCTGCCTTCTATCACTTCCACGTTTAGTTCACGATCTATGTTATTCAAGCACTATCTGGTGACTCTAAGCATTTGTAGATTAAGTCCCATTTTTCAGTTGCCTTTTGTGTAGGACAGTCCTTCATCACTTTTGATAGAATGTCCATTTCTGCCGCTTCCCTTATCATCTCAGTAAGATCCTCTTGTTTTGGTACCACCAGACTTTTCCAATTTTTGGCATAAAGAATTCTGGCTGCAGTGACTCTATATAGAGTTTCGCTATCCAATATTGTTCCGCTACTCTACAAGCCCTCCACATATGATAATAGCTTCCCACGTGTGCTTCACATTTCCAACAGACATTTGGTACATCTGTATACATCTTCCACAATTTATCTGGAGTCATATGCCACCTTTAAAACATCTTATATATATGTTCTCCTTAAAATTAATCGATTTTGTAAGTGTTATATTAGTTTGCCATATTGGCAACCGT